CCACGTCGAAGGGCTTAGATGCTTGGTTGGTGTGGTTCGATAACAGTAGGGAAAAGTGAAAAAGACTACTCGAACACTAGGCTTAATAATTCGTCGACGTTAGAAGTGTTTGTCTCTTTTGGCATTGGGAACTTAGACGTAATTGCATCTAAATATTCTCAATTTATATTTTGTTTTTATTATTTTTTTAAATTAGGTAATGAAGCACTTTTTTTATTATTGTTTGATTTCTAGTTTCATTTCTTATAGTGATTTTTGATTAAGCATTTTCGTTATTATTATTTTATTACTAGATTTACACGATTTACTGGATTATTATTGCGTTTTAGATGAAGCATTTAACTTTATTTTATTATTATTAATTTTACTACATCTTATTATTTTTTCGTTCTTTGAAGTGAAGCATTTTCTCTAGGATTATTTTATGATTAGTTTTACACTCGATCATAAATTTCGCGTTTTTGATTAACCCTTTTCACTTTTACTATTTTTTTTACGAATTTCTATACTACTTAATCTATTTTGTGTTTTTAACGCAACCTTCTGATCCAATAAATTGGTAATTTATTCCGATCTCGCAAAGGCTGAATGTGGGAACATTCGGCCTTTCTAGAACAAAGTCAGTTAACAAACCTCACCTTCTTTTCTATGTTTTTTTTTACTTTATCAAAGCCTGGTTTCATAAACTAAGAGTTTCTAGTGGGATACACGATTCAGGTTTGACGATGGTCTGCATGTGAAAAGGAAGGTTAGCCAAAGAAGAATGCTTAGTAGTAGGATAGAACTTCGGTTTTATGGCGATGTAGTTTCTCTTCAGCTCCAGTCTTCTGATTTACATCAGAAAGCAATATTACCTTGTGGACCGTACGTCCCCAAGCATCTGTCTTATTTCCGTCAATTGTCCACTAGCGGTTGTCAATTCCACAAGAGATCTAGGAGTTCCTGTAAATCTTCGTCTTATTTATTTGTTCTATTGGTCAGTTCGCTGAGTAGAAAGATTTAGTCGACAATGGACTTCTATCCTCAACTGTGTGACCTGCTCAGCATAAGTGTGTCTTTTTCAACATAACCCCCAGGTCGAATTTATGCTGATGCGGAAACAATTGTGATGAAAACGTTTGAGGAGGTGTAGTTGACGCTCATTGATTACACTTCATCGTTTTTTTTTTAATCAATTCGCCCCAATCAAGGCGATAATAATACTAAAACGCAAGGACCTACTGAGAATGAAAGAGAATGAGATGACTTTAGAAAGAACCGTAAACGCAGTCCTAAACTGGAAACAAGTGATAAAATTCAATTCCTCTTCGGAAAACTGGAGGGGAACATGAATCGGATCTTAGGGTAACCTGACAAGTCCTATTAGTGGAGTAAATAAAGAGTAGCTACAATTAGGTTAGATATAGACATTAGAAATATGATGTTGAAGTAGACTTTAAAAGAAACCAGAAACTCAATCCTAAGAAGAAAACACGGGATAAAGATCTACTCCCGTTCAAAAGGGATAAACCTCTATTCCTGTTAACAATTAAGTTTTAAGTTTTTCATTACATAACAATCTGGTTCGATAAATCATTGATCTCACATAAGGATGAATAAGAATGTGGAAACATTCGGCCTCTACAAACAAGATTTGGAACGTAATGATGCACGGATGTATACAGAAATTCTCACTGTATATTTTCTTTAGTGCTTAGATATTTTCTTCAATACCTATATATACATACATACATATATATATATATATATATATATATATATATATATATATATATATATATATATATATATTAAAGAACAACGATAGTTATTTCTTGAAGATAATCGCTTTTTTTACTCTATTTCGGGCAATTTTTCTGGTTGCAATGTTTCTGTATTTTGAACTACCACAACGCATGATCAAAGAGATTTTGTTTTCTTTGTCCATTTGATATATTTCATATATATATATATATATATATATATATATATATATATATATATATATATATATATATATATATATATATATATATGACAAATTGAAACGCCTTTCATCCGTTCATCGGACCGGGTTTGTTTAGGGATGAAACGAGGTAAAAAAATTTTTCCAGTTTATCATACATCTTTTCGTTCAAACCTGTTCTTGATATATAAACATTTATAGTGTTATCCCATACATATATATATATATATATATATATATATATATATATATATATATATATATATATATATATATATATATATATATATATATGTGTGTGTGTGTGTGTGTGTGTGTGTGTGTGAGATTTTCCATTTTTTTACTGGTCACAGACAATAATTTAGTCTTGATTCTTTAAAAATATATTTACAATTCAAATACAATAAACACATTATAGGCCTGTCTGTCAATAAAGCTTAATCTAAATGTTGACTATAAGATGGTTCGTCTTCATTTTCAATGCATTGCTATTTGAATGCATTTTGGGTGTTAAAGGAATCTTGGTTGAAAATTGGTTTTGTTTTCTTGTCTTTAGAAATTCCATCCTCTTATTTTCTTCATTACATGTCATATTGTGTTTTTCTGTTATTGTAAACATCGTGGTTTTTTTTTTTTTTGGCCTCCATGTTTATGTCTGCTTGTTTTATTAAATCTGTTTGCTGTTCAAGATGTCATTGTCAGGTTGGTTGTCGAAGGTGTATTCTTGTGTCCTGTCATATTTCATCTCTCTTCGAACATTCAAACACAAAGACAGTGGAGCCAGGCAGAAATTCTATAACACAGCAAGCAATCAAAACATTTTCCTCTCCTTTTAAAAATCCCTTTGAATAACATTAAATGCGATGAATGCGTTGAGGGATGTTGCATCGAAGCCGGAGATTTTTAACACGTCTTTTTTTTCTTTCGCATTGATATGTCTGAAAGCGTCCGACAACCTACTCTCCGACAAGAAGGCTGTTTATTTCGCGGTTGAAGTTTTCATTATTTTAAAGAATTCCCTTATTATTATTATTATTATTATTATTATTATTATTATTTTATTTCCTTTGATTTCTGGTGTATACACATCTCTTTCCGGGTCCCGCCCAGCGACCTAAGTTTAGAAATGGCATCATGACATTTTCCACTTACAAAAAACAAAAAAAAAAAAAACAACAATATTTTACATAGACAAAACTCTTCGTAATGTGTGGGCTGTACTCATGAGAACATTTTTTTGTATTTCTTTAAGGTATAGGCTTCCAGGGATCTCTTCAATTAGTCTACTGGAATCCTTTCCAACCAATCAGTGGTCTCCAACTACAAAGGGGATTGTTGATGTTCGTATGTGTCACTTTTTTGAGATTTTGATTTCAAGGTCCTTGTATTATTATTATTATTTTTTTATTATTATTTGATTTCTGGCGTTTACACATTTCTTTCCGGGTCCCGCCCAGGGACCTAAGGTTAGAAATGGCATCATGATACTTTCCACTGCCAAAAAAAAAAAAAAAAATGACATAGATAAAGCCCTTCGTAAAGTGTGGGCTGTACTTGTCAGAACAATTTTTTGTATCTCCTTGAGGCATGGACTTCCAGGAATTCCTTCAATTAGTCTACTGCGATCTTTTCTAACCAGTCCTAGGACTCCAACTACAACAGGGATTGTTGATGTTCCCATATGCCACATTTTCGAGATTTCTATTTCATGGTCCTTGTATTTTGACAGCTTTTTGAATATCTTCAAAGATACATTGCAGTCAGCAGGGGCTGCCATATCAATAAGGAGGCACCGTTTTTGTTTGTGGTCATTAATAACAATGTCTCGGCGGGTAGTTTCGATTTTTCTGTATGTGTGTATTGTGTAGTCCCATAAAATTGTAACAGGTTCTCTCTCCGTAACCTAGTCTGGTTGGTGTTCATACCTATTTCTTGCAGTTTCCTTCCCGTAGAAGTTGCAGATTTCCCAGTGCAGATATTGGCCCATTCTATCATGCCGGGTTTTATATTCAGTGGGTGCCAATACCGTGCCACCTGATAGAAGATGATCAATTTTTTCTGGATATTTATCACATAATCTGCATTTTGGGCTAACACAATATTTTGGTATGTGCGCTTGATAATTTCAAGTTAACAAGCATTACTCCTGTGCAACAAGGATAAAATATTCCGTTTCAGATATTAACCCTGCACTACGTAGCCACTGAGGGGTACGGGGTTTGTCTACATCGGGCAGAGTATTGGCCATGAAGCTTTTTATCTTGCCATTGTTTCTGTATCTGATCGATTGCATTTGCTTTATTATTATTATTATTATTATTATTATTATTTTCGTATATATATATATATATATATATATATATATATATATATATATATATATGTCTTTTTTAAACATTTCTTCAAATGACAATTTACGGTTACATCTAACCATTTCAACATTCTACGCTAGAATTAATAAATTCTAGATAACAAAGAGAAAAACTCATCAGAACATGAAACTATTTATAGAAATGCACAGATAATCTACATTACAGCAGTGCGAATGTGATTAAAGCCGAGATACCAGGTTACGGACAATAATATTGCATATTCTTCTTTGTATTTTATCACGCAAATCTAAACACAGAAGCAACAGGCCAGATGTAATAGTAGCATTCTAAGCATGAACGAATGTTAGACTTATAAATATGTAAATTGACTAGCCCGATACACTGAAGAAATCTTCACTGCAGCAGACATAGCGTTCGATTCAATTTTCTTTGAATTAAATTATTGATTAAATCTTCTTTTCACAATTTTACTTTTTCTTCCCAGCTTTTTCATTTTCCTTCGTCTATCCCTTTATTATTTAAGAAAGATCGAACGCTGGACGTTGAGGAATAATTCATAAGGAAAATTGAAATTTGGACACACCATGAAGAACGCTTGAAGAATTTGACATTAACAGGACATATCGAAAGGAGAAAGGGCAGAAGAAGGCAGCGGGACCCCGACTTGACGAACAGGTTTGAACTGATTTCTGTCGTACTAATACTCAATATTCGAAGGTTTGTACGATCACCGAAGTTAAGCAACGTCGATCCTGGTCAGTAGCGAGATGGGTGACCGTTTGGGAATACCAAGTGCTGCAATCTTGGATATGCATGTAGTGTAATGGATAATGGCTTGGAATTCTTGATCGGACAGCTGACTTCCAATTCCAGTTAGATTTGATATATTCACTTACGCCCACATGCCCCTGGAAAAGGCATGGATCTACATCTCCTACCAGCTATGAGTAATTAGCATCAATAACCATTATTATCTTTAAAAAGATAATCTTACAATATTTCTTGGTTTTAAATAACCTGTAAAGCGCTAAGGAGGGCGAATCAGTCAATTAAACAATATTCGAAGAAGGGTGGTCTTTGTCAAGACCCACAGACTTAGTGTACAACTAATGCATTCTTCACTTACATGGATGACTCGTAGTTATGATGGCTCATTCGACATTTAGTCTTATGCCATTATTTAATGGAGTTAAAAGAAGACGAATTTGAAGAATTCTATGAAATATAAATTCACTTTTGTTTCTCTCATATAAATGCATGTGATTTTATTTGGAAATTAATATTTAGTTTTTAAAATAACCACGAAAAACAAATAAAAATAGAATTTTGATATTCAAGCAGTTTTAATTTTATATAACTATATATGAAAACATAGCCTTTTTTTGGATTAATGTAAAAAATATTCTTTGGAAATTTACTCAGCGAAATATTTTAAACTTATTCGAAGACTTCAAAAAGTGCAATCAACTTTTGCACAAGTAAAAAAGGTTTCTGGAAAAGTTTTTTAATTACTTGCAATCATTGGTCAAATGCTTTCCAATTTTTTTTTACTTTTTAACACAAAAGAACGTGACTTTTTAGGTTGAAAAATGATTTAAGTTAGTTTTACCAAATTATACTGGCTTCTGGATGCAGTCATTGCAACCCATCTTTTCATTGTTTCGATCAAAGATTTCAGGACAAACTGTAGTTTGCTTACAATAATATTGTCATATTTTTCAAAGATTCATATTACGGATTTTCGCTTAGGTTTTTCCTGGCTTTAAGTGTCCTGTATTTGTTTTTTTTTAAACCACGTCGGCAAATAAAACTGTATCAGAAGAGATGCTACACCAAGAAAATAGAAGAAGCAAAGGACGAATATAAAGAAAAAAAGAAGGAGAAATGTTTCGTAAATCAAAAACAAGAAAAAAATATCTAACTCTGCGACTTGATCAGACATCAGTCAGCGTAAACAACATCTGCCGATGTATTTTTATTCGATTTGCAATTCTTTTTCCTCTTTTGATAAAAGTGGTTGCCAACGGGAAGGGTGCACAACTGTACAGAGAGCAGCAAGAATAAAAAGTACTCGCATCGAGACAAGTGTTAAAATCAAGCTTACCCTTATATAGATCTCAACGGTTACATCAAATATCAATAAAAAAAAAACCATTAAAAAATCTTCTTTGTCTGGTTTAGGCTAGAGTACTATGTCGAGTTATTCGTTTAACTTAATCTAGTAGCAGGGCAAATTATGGCAATGGTGTAAACGTCGAACATACCAGATTTTGAGAGACAATAACAATTTGTTTTGTTCGCGATTTCTTATCAGGAATTGTCAGTAATAATGAAAAAAAATCAGACATGTTAAAAAGCAATTTATAACAAAAAAATCAATTCATAACAAAAAAGAAGGTAACAAAAATATGTATTACCATTAAATGGTAGTACGATATATTAGGTCGTTTGGAAAATAATGTAAACCTTTTAATTATGGTCTAATATAATGGGCGCAAGGCCGAGTGGTTAGAACGTTGGTTTTCTGACCATTAGACCAGTCTTCGAATCTGACCATGGTTTATTTTTCAGTAAGGAAACCTGATACCTGATGATCCTGTTAAAATTCCTGAAAAAAATCCAGGGGTCGTATTAGATATGAAGTCGGCTTATATACGGTATCCAGATTCTATCGCACTTATAAGTTGTCAGTATGAGAAAAGTGCCTGAAAACCGTTCCACGTGAGTGAAATTGGGTAGACGAAACACTTGATAGAGGGTTTGAGTGTGCTGGTGTTGTTCAGATTGTTGATCATTCGAGATAAAACGCTCTCTCCCAGAAACTGTAACTAAAGTCTACTCAGCATAGATGCAGTATAAATCACATGTTGGCTCTGTGGGTGTTGAATATAAACAAATGTGCCTGAGCGAGATTCTGCATTAGGGATTGTCTAGCCGCCCTAGTAGACAGGTATTCTCGAATACGAGTAGCCAGCTATAAAATATATTATAATATTTGCACAAATATATATATATTATTCATTCCTAATGTTTAACACGTCTTCGTTAATTTTATACCAATCTCTTTTAGAATTTAAATTAAACTCTTCTGAACATGAAGAAAGAAGATATGCGTTTATTAATATGATTATTATTGTTGTTGTTGTTTTCATAAGTACAAGCTTAGTAACAATGCTTCTCATACCGTTGGCGGTAGTACTGGACATTAGCAGAACACAGGGTGAAAGATCTATTTGTGATCGGTCAGAACGGCGTTGGTTTCACTAGTTCCGCAGTGGGGATAGGAATATTGAAGATCAAAATAGTAGAAGACGTCAACCTGAAGTTGGCAATCATCAAGTGAAAACAAGAGACGAACAAAAGCCACATCAATGTGCCAGGTAATGGGTGTCAGTATTTCAACAATATCGAACCATCTCAAGAAAATTGGGGAAGAGAAGAAACTCGATAATTTGGTTCCACATGAACTCAGAGAGAGTCCAAGAGTTCGACATGTTGAAATGTGTTCCATGTAGCATATGTAAAATTAGAATGCTCCACTTCTTGATCGAATAGTCATTTGTCATATGTGATGAGAAAAAGATGCTTCATGGCAATCGTAAACGATCGACCTATTAGCTTAATCATGGCTCCAAAATTTTGAAAAAACGAAATTGCACCAAAAGGAGATTATGGTAACTATCCAGTAGGTTACCATTGGCGTTGTCCATTACAGCATTTTATAATCTAACCTGAGCATCGCTGGCGACGTCTACTGCCAGGAACTGGAAGAAATACACATTCATTTAAGTAAACTGAGACCTTCACTGATTAATCGATGGGTTCCAATTCTGCTTCCTGACAATGATAGTACTCCATGTTTCCAGGATGGCACTGCAGAATAACATTGACTTTGAATATGATATTTTTGCCAAATCCATTATATTCTCTTGAACTTTTGACGACCACTTTCTCAAGCATCGAGACGTTTTTTTAAGCCAGAAGTCATTCCGTTGTAAAGAAGATGCAGAAAATGCATTCAAAGATTTCTTGGTGCCAAAAACCTGTAGATGGCAGAAATGGATAGATGCTGAGTTCTTATTTTGACCAATCTACAGACTGTTTAAATACGGTCATTCCGGAATAAAAGTTGATTCTAATTCAGACATTATCTTTCCAATGGAGTTACTATAAAACGCTTAAAAAATTGTTCTGTTATTTCGGTATTACTATTTTACATTACTTATATTATTTATCGGACTGTTATCTTCATCTTCATTGCCATATTCACAATGTTTCGGCCATTGTACGCTCTGCCCTTCTTCAGGGGATTGGAATTTCGAACCGAACCCTTTATTTCGTCTACCGGAGTAGATTGTTCTAGTTCTACACTGCGTGCCAAATTATTATCGAGATAACTTTTTTTTCTAATATTTCAAAAACCGTCTAATCAATTCACACGAAATTTTCATACAAAGTTGGCAACACGGACCTGCGCAATCACTGAAATTTTCGTACTGATCTGCGTAATGTAAACAAACTGGCGCCATATTTGTTATCTAGAGATATAGACAGATACTAGTTTATACGTATACACTTTTTTGTTGTCCCATCTCCCTTATTATGAATTGTTTCTTTTTTTCTTATAAATTGCTTTTTTTCATACCATCTATACACGAGTATAGTCCGAGTTTTTCTGATCATTTTTTTACGTAAGAATTATGAGCTCGCATTATACACTGGTAATCTTTTTGAAGAGAGTAAAGATTATGCATTTTCGGTGATCTGTTGCATTACATTTTTCTGGAGCGGTTAAAATTCCTGCAAATAATTTGGGGTCGTACTATACATGAAGTCGTCTTATGCACGAGTCTATATGGAATGTTGATTTATGAATTGACAGTATGATTTATTTTTATTCATTTATTCGAGTTGTTTTTTATTTAAAGTTATTTTTTTTAACCTAATTGTTACAGCTATTATCATAGACGCAGTGTTTCAATCAAGTACCTTTGGATGTATTCAGACATTATTTTGGCAGATAGGGGATATATTTTATGAGAGGAGTTTTGAAGTATTTTGTTCTTCAGAGATAGATGGAATCTGAAGCAACAGGGATGTGGATCTGCACAAGTATGGTGAGAATACCATTGATAGAATATGCGAACAACGAAGACGTTTTAAAGAAAAAAATGCAACAAAGAGAATACTTAGAATTAAAATTATTTGCAGGAATTTTAACCGCTCCAGAAAAATGTAATGCAACAGATCACCGAAAATGCATAATCTTTACTCTCTTCAAAAAGATTACCAGTGTATAATGCGAGCTCATAGACAATTGGAATTTCAAGGGGATATAATGAAGATGGAATAAATGAAGAACTCAACACTGACTGAACACATTTACATCACAGAATAAATGACGATAACATTTCGTTAAGCAAGGCGGTAAATTTCGTAAAATTCTGCAATATATTTTGCAAGGAAAGTTGGCTCCCTATGCCGCGTCAGGAAATTTTTTTCCCCGGAATCGATCCACAGGATCTACAAATCAACAATTCGTCCCTGCATGGAAGTATTGCTGCCATATATGGTCTGGTGCCCCTTCTGTTTGCCTCAAGGTTCTTGATAGCCTCCAGAGGCGGATATGCAATATAATTGGCCCTGCCCTGGCATCTCATCTACAGTCACTTTCTCACAGACGCGCTGTCGCCTCCCTCTGTCTGTTCTACAAATACTTTCATGGTAATTGCCCCGAGGAGCTGCATTCGCTGGTTCACAGACTTCATGAGTTCAAGCGCCCTACGAGGCTGGCATCCCGCTC